CTTAAGCCAGACATGCTCCAGCCTTGTTTGAGTTTTCCCTCCCAGGGAGGAGTAAGAAGAGAGACCACAGATCCAAGAAGCATGGCAGATATGACCTCTTCCAAGCTGAGTCCTTCTCCTGATCAGAGAAAGGAAGTGCAAAGAAATCAGGCAAAGCGGTATCCAGGGGTGCCTTGGAAGGCCAGGAGAGAAATGTATCTGTGGGCTGGTGGGCAGCCTCTCCTGCTCTCTCTCTCCCACAGTGGATTGATCTCACCCCATCTCCCTGGGTGGTGGTGCCTCACTGATCCTCGAAGAAAGTCTTGTCTGCGCTGCAGGTGGGGTGTGTGACCTTTCCCAGCCCCTGGGGGACAGCTTTACCAAGAGTCAAGGACCTTCATGATTATTTAAGGAGACTAAAACAAATATTTCTTTTTCTACTTCAGGAGGGAAAGAAATATGTCCTGGTCCCTTCTTCTGTTGATGGCCAGGAAGAAAGAGAAAAGGCACTGTTAGAAAACCCTGAATGTCTATCCTTTCTCTGCCTATATAAGGTCTGTCCCAGGCTAGCGCTTAGGCACCAGAGGACCTTTTGTTTCCAAAGAATGGAGGCCCCTTCTCTGCCTCCCTTCAAGCTCCTTGCCTTGGTAAACGTCAGGGTGTAGAGTTGGCCACGCCATGTTGTAGAACATAAGGAAAGTCTTAGGTTGGGGACTTCTTTTCAGTTCCAGAGGCAGGGCAGTGGTCCGTTCTGGGGCCTGGTGGGAGTGAGGGGAGGTGCTCTGGAAAACGATCCGGCTCCTTGGATGCCTGTGCCTCTGACAGGAATGAACCTTTACTGTATGATCGTGGCCAAGACTCAGTTTCCCCTCTGGGCCTCGGCCTTTTAATTCTGTAAAATGTTGGTGTCAGATTTGACCTTTAAGACCCCTTAGCTCCAATTCTATGTCACCACCATCTTATCCCCCTGGACTAATTGGAGAAGATAGGCAGGGTAAAGAGAGGGAAGAAACTTCTGCCTAGTTTGTGGTCCCTTTCAAGAACTTTAAAGCAAGATGGAGAGATTCTAAATCATAGCCTATAACACCTCTAACACATTGGATGAGGTATGAGGCTCTCAGTCACCTAAACTCCCCTAGGCTTCTTTCTTCTCTCTCTCTCTCTCATTCTCTCTCATACACACACACACACACACACACACACACACACACACAGAGTTGTGATGCACATAAGACCGACCACAAGCTACTAAAGCAAGGGAGGGACAGACTCCCTCTCCCACTATTAGAACCTCTACCCACCAGGCAGTCTCTGCCTCTTCCGGTTCTACTGACCGCATATTCTAAATTTTTTTTTTTCAACGTTTATTTATTTTTGGGACAGAGAGAGACAGAGCATGAACGGGGGAGGGGCAGAGAGAGAGGGAGACACAGAATCGGAAACAGGCTCCAGGCTCCGAGCCATCAGCCCAGAGCCTGACGCAGGGCTCGAACTCACGGACCGCGAGATCGTGACCTGGCTGAAGTCGGACGCTCAACCGACTGCGCCACCCAGGCGCCCCCTGACCGCATATTCTAAATCACAGACCATCACACAACTGCCCTCTTACACAACAGGATAACTTGCACCCTTGGAGCCCCCAACACATAAACAGCAGCCCGGGGTGGGGGGGCCTGAATTCAGCAGATTAAGAAGCCCACATTCACTGTCTGCTTCCAAGGGCACAGAACAAAGGTCATTTGGGGGCCCAGGGCTCTCCCTGGGCAATGTATGCTTCTGCCCAGACTTGGATGACCTTTACAGACCAGGCAGCACTAATTCTCCTGGGGCCAGTCATTAGGACGACTTCCCGGAGGAGCAGGTCACTTGCCTCCAACCTCCAGCTGGCTGGCAAAAATGATGGCAAGAAAAAAAAATGATGGCAAGAGTATATACATGGGTACATTGCCTGGGGAGGGTAATTTGGCGGTAAATTCTAAATTGCAAATGTAAATTTATAAATTATGATACAGGAATTCTATCTGCAGGAATTTATTCTTTTCTTAATTAATTAATTAACTTTTAAGAGAGAGACAGAGTGCGAGCAGGGGAGGGGCAGAGAGAGAGAGAGAGAGAGAATCTGAAGCAGGCCAGGCTCTGAGCTGTCAGCACAGAGCCTGTCGCAGGGCTCGAACTCGTGAACCGCGAGATCACGACCTGAGCCAAAGTTGGATGCTTAACCAACTGAGCCACCCAGGCACCCCTGCAGGAATTTATTCTATAAATATACTTACACATATGTGAAATGACATGTTTCAAGTTATTCACTGCACTATCATCTTTTAGTAAAGATTGGAAGTAAATTAGATGTCCATCAGTAGTCAATTGTTTTCATAGATTACGGTATAGCTATATTATGGAATATTAAAAATGGGAAGCTATTACGTATTGGTATGGAAAGATTACAGATATACATTGTTAAGTTAAAATAAGCAAGGTGCAGGGCACCTGGGTGGCTCAGTCGGTTAAGCATCAGACTCTCGGTTTCAGCTCAGGTCACGATCTCATGGTTTCATGGGTTCGAGCCCCACATCAGGCTCTGCGCTGATGGTGCAGAGCCAGTCTGGGATTCTCTCTCTCTCTGCCCCTCCCCTGCTCACGCGGTCTCTGTCTCTCTGTAAATAAATAAATAAAACTTAAAAAAAAAAGCAGGGTGCTGAATAGTGGGGATATTCTACTACCATTTGTGTAGAAAAGAAAGGACACAAGCACATGTACTTGTATTGATTTATTTACATATAACATATCACTAGATGGATAAAAAGAGACTAGTGGTGGGTACTTGTGAGGGTGCTGAAAACCAGGATAAAGGGAACTTTCCATTACATGGATTTTGAATATTTTGATGGTTGAATAAAGTTGAATGCATACCCGGGGCACCTGAGTGGCTCAGTCGGTTAAGCTCTGACTTTGGCTCAGGTCATGAACTCGTGGATCCAGAGTCTGAGCCCCGCGAGGGGCTCTCTGCTGTCATCGTGGAGCCTGCTTTGGATCCTCTGTCTCCGTCTCTCTCTGTCCCTTGCCCTCCCTCCCTCTCTCTTCTCAAAAACAAATAAACACAAAAAAGATTAAGTTGAAAAGCACAAAGGCAAGAAAAACAGAATAAGCCCACAGACCAAAGTGGCAAAAGAAGGAGCCCTTCTGGCTGTCGGCCTCTTGGGCAGGGGGAGGCCAGACTAGGAATGAGAGCAGGAAGGGCCAGAGTAGAGGGAAGCATGCCAGGTGCTTCGGCAGTGCCCTGCTTACTCATAAAAGCCTTCACTAACAGGGCCTGGAATCTCTCTGCTCACACTCTCCTTTGGTTATTGCCCTAATCAGTCCCCAAACTCAAGCACACTCACGTGGCTTCGGAAAGCTTGTCTTTTTGGAAAATGTAAACATTATTACGCACTTGTTCGGAATAATGAAGTCACCCCCTAAAGCAATGACAGCTTTTGAAGTTGCTTGACTTCCTAGCCCCCTTCCCCCACCCTGGCCCCCAACTGATGTCCTGGAAAAAAATTGCTGAATGATATGTATTTGTTTTAGAGATTACTCTTTGAGAATCTTATGACACCCCTTTGAGATAACTGGCAACACTCTGGGGTGTTGCAAAACCCAACTGGGAAGTGGCATCCTGATGATCAGCAAGAGGGCACAGCCAAGACTCACGGCCAAGTGGGGCCTGCCCCACTTGGGCAGGACTGGGGGTGGAGGGCAGAGGATAGGCTTTCCACCTCCACCTAGTGGGCATTTCGTTGGATTCAAAGGTCGGCTTGGGGTACTGCATGGGCGTGGAAGGCATTTGCTTGGGAGCCACTGACAAACCCTGCTTGTGGGTGAGCTGCTGGGTCCCTGGGAGACAAAACTGGTTCTTTCTCCTCAAGGATAATTTTAGGCCCTCACGTCCCCTCCAGTCTTTCTTACTCCCAACCCCGGGCTCAGCCTCCCAGAGGGATTGCTTAGACCATACAGCGTTCTTTTGAAATATAGAGCTGTTCAAAAGAGACATGTGAGGGTATGGCCCCGGAGGCATTTTCCATGATCATTTTTTCCCCTTTTGTCCCGTTGTTACCCCGGGTGGAAGCAAGACATCTCCAGGATCAGGTTGTGATAGGATTTAATAAAGGTGTTATGTCCGGGCACCTGACAGTACGGAGCGGGCTTGGGATTCACTCGCTCTCCCAAAATAAATAAATAAACATAAAAAAATAAAGGTAATTTTTAATTTATTTTTTTAATGTTTATTTTTGAGAAAGAGAGAGAGAGAGAGAGCAGGGGAGGGCCAGAGAGAGAGGGAGACATAGAATCCAAAGCAGGGCTCCAGGCTCTGAGCTGTCTGCACAGAGCCCAAGGCAGGGCTCAAACTCACCAACCTTGAGATCGTGACCTGAGCCGAAGTCCCATGCTTACCCGACTGAGCCAGCTGGGTGCCCCCAATTTTAAAGAAATTTTAAAAGCAGGGACCCATCTAGAAATTCTCTAGGTGGAAAGGTGTGTGGAAGGGGCAAGGGGCAATGGGGAAGATGGAGAAATGGAAACTTTCAGCATCTTAGGCCATGTGAAGCCTAATCAAAATTCAAATGAGCAGGCAAGTATAAAGACTCCAGGAAAACATCAAATTTCCCTGCTAACTGAAAAGAACAGCAACAAGACAAGGGAGAACTGGAGGGGCAGGGCAGGTAAATGAAATAGAAGGGAAAGGGGCCAAGTCTCATTGGCGCGAAGTCTTGGGAAAAGAGAGAAGATACTTTGACTTACAATATTTTAAAGAAGGACCCTCAAGTAGGTGCGGTGCTAGTGGGGATCATTTTGCTGGCCCTGGGAGGGTTCCCTTTTCCTCTGACAAGGTAAGGCGGTGGTGGTGATGTCTTCATGACCTTTCTGCTAGCGTCGCTGCAGGACCTTCCGGGGAAATTGGTAAATTGGTGCGGCGTTCCAGGCAATCAGTGCCGACGGAGTGTTGCGCTGAGTGCCTGCGGTGGTCACGGCAGGAGTGGGCACATGGTGGCAGAGAAGTCCGGGTGTCGGCACTCCAGATAAGGTTACAGGAAAACTCAGACATCCATCTCATTTCCCTCCCCTCCCTCCAATTCCCTTCCTGGCGCCCAGCATAGAGACTGTTGGCCGCTGCCCCTTTAAGGGCCTCCACTCCTCCCCACCCCAAGCAGTGGCACCGGGGCGGGTAGTGGGGGGGAGGTTGAGCGTTCTCGCCCCGGTCAACTAGGGAAAATGGCCCAGGCCCGGGAAATCGCTCCCACGCCCCGCTGTCCCCGCCCCCGAGCCGGGTGAGCTGGGAGACCCCTTCTCTCTTTCCCTCCCGCCCCACGCACGCCACGGGAATGGCTCCGTGGCCTCACGGGAACGGCTCCCTGGCTTCGTGGCCGGATGCCCCCACCCTGACGCCCAATACTGCCAACACGAGTGGGCTGCCGGGGGTGCCGTGGGCGGTGGCATTGGCGGGGGCACTGTTGGCGCTGGCCGTGCTGGCCACCGTGGGAGGCAACCTGCTGGTCATCGTGGCCATCGCTCGGACGCCGAGACTCCAGACCATGACCAACGTGTTCGTGACCTCGCTGGCCACAGCAGACCTGGTGGTGGGACTCCTGGTAGTGCCGCCGGGGGCCACCCTGGCGCTGACCGGCCACTGGCCCCTGGGCGCCACTGGTTGCGAGCTGTGGACCTCAGTGGACGTGCTGTGTGTGACCGCCAGCATTGAAACCCTGTGCGCCCTGGCCGTGGACCGCTACCTGGCAGTGACGAACCCGCTGCGCTACGGCGCCCTGGTCACCAAACGGCGCGCCCGGGCAGCCGTGGTACTGGTGTGGGTCGTGTCAGCGGCGGTGTCGTTTGCGCCCATCATGAGCAAATGGTGGCGCGTGGGAGCCGACGCCGAGGCGCAGCGCTGCCACTCCAATCCGCACTGCTGCGCCTTCGCCTCCAACATACCCTACGCGCTGCTCTCCTCCTCCGTCTCCTTCTACCTTCCGCTCCTTGTGATGCTCTTCGTCTACGCGCGCGTTTTCGTCGTGGCTACGCGCCAGCTGCGCCTGCTGCGCGGAGAGCTGGGCCGCTTCCCGCCAGGGGAGTCTCCGCAGGCCGCGTCTCGCTCTCTGTCCCCTGCCCCGGCGGGGCCGTGCGCTTCTCCCGCAGGGGTGCCCTCCTACGGGCGGCGGCCCGCGCGCCTTCTGCCTCTCCGGGAACACCGGGCCCTGCGCACCTTGGGTCTCATCATGGGGACCTTCTCTCTCTGCTGGTTGCCCTTCTTTGTGGCCAACGTGGTGCGAGCCCTCGGGGGCCCCTCTCTGGTTCCCAGCCCGGCTTTCCTGGCCCTTAACTGGCTAGGCTATGCCAACTCCGCCTTTAACCCGCTCATCTACTGCCGCAGCCCCGACTTTCGCAGCGCCTTTCGCCGCCTGCTGTGCCGCTGCCGGCGGGAGGAGGGCCACGCAGCAGCCTCCGGGGCTGGAGAAACCTCGGATGCCCCTGCGGCGCTGACGAGGCCCGCAGAGTCGGGTAGGTAACCGAAGCGAAGGGGTTGGCGGCTCAGGATCTGGAAGCATTCGGTGTCTCATGTGGCCATTTCTCAGAGTTTGGGGTTCGGGAGGAGAAGGTGGGGCTGGGGAGGTCTCTGCAGCGAAAGAAGGGGGACAAGGAGGACGGAACCAAAAGGGAACCCAGGACACTTTTTTCCTCCGGCATCCCACCCACCTGCCCCAGGGTTGAAGCAAAGAAAGGCGGAGGATTGTTCTTCACCCCAGGACCCAGTGCGGGAAGTGTGGCCAGGGAGTGCGGCTTTACCGTGGGCCTGCCTGGTCAGCTCTAGATTTTCTAGCCCAGTTCTTTGGCCTCCCATATTTCTTGCCACCACTTGGCTGGCTTTGACTTGCGGAGAAGCATAAAGCACTCCCCCCCCCCCCCCCCCGCCCCCGCCCCCGGCCCTTAGCCTCAGCTGTGGTTTCTTTGAAAGGTTTGATAGCTGTGGAGGTGAGACTCTGCTTCGGCTATGAAGGGTAAACAGGAGTAGGGGAACCTGGGAGCCCCAGGTCTTCTCCCTGGCAGGAACAGGGCTGGAGTTGGGGGTGGGTATTTTGTGGCTGGGTGGAGCCCGGATGCTTTTGTGTGATTACATACATATTCTTCCCAGGGTCCCTGACTTTCACCCCTGCTCTTTAGGACTTCTGTTCCCACCCTGTGCCCCTCACCCCAAGATATATTATCTCCATTTTTCAGGGCTTCCTGGGGGAATTTCTTAGGTCCTGAACGACAAGAAACAACTCTGTTCATCCAGAACTTTTGGAAAGCCTCTGGCCTCTGTTTAGAATGAGCCCTGTGGAGTTTCCCAGCTGGAAATCTCTGACCTCCAGAAACTGGTGACTTGGCCTTGGGGTGGGGAGGGGGGCCGACCGGGGAGGGAAAATCTTTAGCAGGTGGGTTTTCACTATCCTCTCTGCCTCTCTCTTTCTGAGAGAACTTTTCTAAGCCCTGAGCTTCACCACTACCTCAGCAGCTGAAGTATCCAGCAGCCTGGAGCAGCCGGACTAGCTTTGGTGGGACACCTGTCACCTTGCTCACTTCTGTGCTGTGTGCTTAGGGCAGAGACAGCACTCCTCCTTTCATCCCTCCTGCTGCCTAGACCTGACGGACCACTCAGTGCTCCCCACGATCGCTTGCTGCTTGCTCTGTGGCCTAGGCTGGGAGCAGGAAGCTAGCAAAGGTGCAGCTTTGGGGTTTTGTCCCTGACACATCGCTACGGATCTCTAAGCACCGGCCTCCCCCACTTTGGACACAGGACAGCTCTGATCTACCTCACAGCAGTGCCAGAAGGACTTCTTCAGGGTTTTTTTTTTTGGAGGGGGGTGGGGGAGTGGCTCCGGGATTCATAGGAGGCCGAACCATTAGAACAGATCCCTTCTTTTCCTTTTAGCATCAAATGAATAAATATTACTGAATGCGATTCCTCCATTGCCTTCTTTTCTCCATCCCGCACCACCCCCATAATCCACTTACACCCTTCTTAGAGCTGGCTTTTGACAGATGCGGTAAATTAGGACTAGTCCTTGCCCCTTTCTTCCTAATCCTCATGAAACAAAAAATGAGAAGTCTGTTTGGGTAAAGGGGAGTGAGTTTAAGCCTTTGACACTCCTGTATCTCCACCTTTCCAAAATTCATGGAACCCAGTTGCAAGTGGGTAGCAAAGCCATGCTACCCAAAGACTTGAGTGTAGTGCTCATAGGAGGACAGAGTTTGCTGTGCTCAGGATCAGGGCCTATGGGCATATGTCAGCTCCCATGCTATAAGCCAGCAGTGAATTCCTAAGATCCCACTGCCCTTGGGAACCAGTTTTGTCTAGTGTTGTACGTGTATGTGTGTCTGGAGGCCCAGAGTGTTGTCTGTGTTGGGCAAATGTCTTTGGTTACAAATGTATTCTGATGCTTCCTTTCCATAACCTCTACCTTTCCTGGGCTGCAGAAATCAATGTTATCCTCTTGAAGTAAAACTGGAGTCCCAAGTTTGAGCCAGTTGATAAAGTTGTTTCCTTATTCCAATTCTTATGAACCTTATCAGCAGTTTCCTATGGAAAGGAAATTTCTGTGGCAACCACTGAATCATTTTGCGAGTTCTTACTTAAACTCCATAAGCAGAGACCATTGCCCAGGCTGAGGTACAGGATGACCAGGAAATCATCAAATATTTAATGTGCTGTGCAACAGCGGTGTGCGATCCACTAGGTGGGTTTGGGGGCTCCGGAGTTATGAAATTTTGATCTGTCCTGAGGATAAGCCCAGTGGATTTCCACATATGGGTGTTCCCTGTGAATTTGACCTGGGCTATGCGGCTCCCTTTCCTCCAGGAGCCCATGTTTTATTTCTCAGGATGTTTGCATACCAAAGATGACTTTCTCCTTTTGAATCCAGAGCAGTGTGAGATCTCTGGGGTCCGAGGTGTGTGGGAGGTTTCTTGGCAAGAACTCAACTTTTGAATGCTTAGTGGAGAAAGAAGTCTTGCTTTGGCCTGGGATAAGTAAGAGGGCCTCCTCTCTCCATCTCTGGATATTTTTGCAACATCACTGAGGAAAGCTGTCCAGTCATTCCTGGGCAGGGAAGAAGGATGATTTTTGGGAGGGGGGCAGAGAGTGGGGCTCTGGCTTGGAGAAATGTCCTTGAACGTTTTCCAAGAGCTCATACTGCGTGAGTCTTGCTCGACACACACCCATGTGCCAGCTGTCAGGCTCCTTTAGAGTGTTTAGACTTGCACTGGGCTGTGGACTCCATCTGCAAACTGTCACCAGTGCATCTGACAGATGGAGAGTCAGCCATTCTGGTCGTCTCTCCGGCAACTTGTGGCCAGGTGTCAGGCTGGGGGAGATTTACATCTTGGATGCTGAGCAGGCTGCTTTTGCTAACGGGGCCTGAGCAAACAACCATCCTCTGAAGCTAGAGAGGTGAAGACTTACAGACCGATGAGACCGAGCGAGGCTGTGGACCCCTGGCCTTCCTAGAACCTGTTAGCAGGAGCTGGGCATGCACAGAGATGACAGCGCGAAGGGGGCGGAACTTGGCAGAGAGCGGATGAGGAGTGACTGGCTAGTCCAGAGGTGCCTTGACCTTCTGCTTCAGGTGGAGCCTCGAAGGAGCAGGCAGAATCAGGTAAGGAGGAGGCGGAGAGCAGGCTTTCCTGGGACGCTCCCAGTGGTAGATTCTTCCGGGGAACAGTGGTCAGCGCCGGCTGTGGTTGTCACAGGCAGTCACAGGACCATCAATCCCCACCAGCTCCATTCCTCAAGCTCTTACTAACTGGGAGCAGCCTTGCTCCTTTCATTCTGGGGGCATAGGTGAAGGCCATGGAAATCACGCTCCTTTGTGTTTTGATCCTAAAACCCAATCATCTGGGCTCCCTCTCATGCTTCCTGGCTGCGTGCATATATTCGTGTTTGCATGTCTCTCCAGAGGAGCGGGAACCTGCAATGGGGAGCACAGCTAATGCCCTCCCTGACGCTGTGCAAAAAAGCCCTGGATGTGGTCCACTATGGGACAATGGGTTGAGGCAACTCAGTTAAATTAGCAGGAACTCCAGGAGGCCATCTAATCTTTCCTAGCTCGTCCTATTATGGTACGAAGGAAAAGCAAAACGCTTTCCTCCGTTTCTTCATCTATAAAGTAAATGGAGAAAGGTTTACTTTCTCTCCTCTCTAGGGCTAGCTCTCCTAAAGCTCTGTGCTGGCTGAGGTCAAGCATCGCAGCTTCAGACGTTCCTCCACCCAAGGCGTAAGGGTGCCGGGCGCCACCTGATGGCGATGGCAGGTCCAACAGGTGTGGGCTTCTCAGGGTGGGTCCGTTGGGACCTGCGGCAGGAAGGCAGTGTTCAGGCCACAGACTATCAGGGCTGGAAGAGACCTTGCGAATGATTTAGTCCAATCCTTTGATAAAGCGGGTGAAGAAACTGACTTCTAGAGAGGTGAACTGTGAGTAGCCAAGATCACTTTAGAGAAAGGCAACACTGGTAGTGTAATGAGCACCACACTTGGAGCTGGAGAAGCAAGAAAGGGAGGAGGAAGGAAATGGTCATTTACTGAGTGAGCATCAGTCAATAAGCCAACGCTGTAAGAGGCGATCTACAAATGGCAGGTGAAGTGATACCAAACAAACAGTAGAACCTCATAGAAACCAAATATCTTCTTTTCTTCTTCTTCTTCTTTTAAAGTTATTTATTTATGGGGCGCCTGGGTGGCTCAGTCAGTTAAGCGGCTGACTTCGGCTCAGGTCATGATCTCGCAGTCCGTGAGTTCGAGTCCCACGTCAGGCTCTGTGCTGACAGCTCAGAGCCTGGAGCCTGTTTCAGATTCTGTGTCTCCCTCTCTCTGACCCTCCCCCATTCGTGCTTTGTCTCTCTCTGTCTCAAAAATAAATAAACGTTAAAAAAAAAAAAATAAAGTTATTTATTTATTTTGAAGTGTGTGTGTGGAGAGGGTGTGGGGACTGAGAGAGAGGGAGAGAATCCCAAGCAGACTCCGCACTGTCAGCACAGAGCCTGGCATGGGGCTCGAACTCACGGACCATGAGATCATGACCTGCACTGAAATCAAGAGTCGGATGCCTAACCGACTGAGTCACCCAGGCGCCCCGAAATCAGATAGCTTCTAACCCAGCCTACGAGACTCTAAATTTCATTTTCCTCCCCTCCACACACACTGATAATCAGTTATGTGACACCGAGCAGGTTACTTGCGTCTCTGACATTTTGTTTGCCTGTGAGTCGAATGGAATTCTATTATTGTTCTACTCAGCCCACGCAGACTGGTTTTGAAGACCAACTAAGAGGTGACATATAAAGCAGGAAACCGAAGGAAAACCTTTGGAAACTGAAGGACTCCTCCAGTGTAAGCGGAGTCATTGGAGTAGGCAGCGAGGACTAGTCCCAGGCCTCTGGGGTTTTGATTTGCGGATGGTCCTGCCTCCGTAGACAGCTTAGATCTTGGACTTGTCTTTGGCCAGGGTGGGCACGTCCCACCTCATCTTTCTTCTGCAGGTTCATCCGTGCCTCGGATTGATGCCCCTGGTTTCATATCCATGTCACATTCACATCTCCCCCTCTGGCTCCTTTTTCACACTTAGACTCTCATCTGGCCTGTGTCTGACGTTTCGGTCCTAGTTTGGCTCACCTTCCATTTCCCACACAGCATTTATAATGGGCTAATTTTTTTTCTTTAATTTTAGAAAGAGAGGAGGGAGGAGAGGGGCAGATGGAGAGAGAGAGAGAGAGAGGATCTTGAGCAGGCTCACACTCAGCATGGAGCCCAATGAGGGGCTTGATGCCACTACCCTGAGATCATGACCTGAGCCAAAATCAAAGGCTGGATGTTCAACTGATGGAGTCACCCAGGCACCCCAGCGATGAGCTAAATTTTAAGGAGGGACAGAAGTTTAGGACACAGAACACTTCTGGATGTCAGGGCTTTATGGTACATTATAGCAAAGGTTCATTAGAACAAGGCCACGAGAAACCAGAAAGGGAGACAGTCAATTCGTTTGCTAGGGCTGGAATAACAAATTACTTTCCTCATAGTTCTGGAGGCTAGAAGGAAAAAATCAGGGTATTGGCAGGATCATGCTCTCTCTGAAAGCTCTAGGAGAGGAATCCTTGGTTGCCTTTTACACGTTCTCCTGGTTGCTGGCAATCTTTGACATCACATGGCTGTGTGATTACAACTCTCGGGGCACCTGGGTGGCTCAGTTGGTTAAGCGTCTGACTTCAGCTCAGGTCACAATCTCATGGTTCATGAGTTCGAGTTCCACGTCAGGCTCTGCGCTGACAGCTCGGAGCCTGGAGCTTGCTTCCGATTCTGTGTCTCCCTCTCTCTGCCCTTCCCCCACTCGTGCTCTGTCTCTCTCTCTCTTTCAAAAATAAATATTAAAAAAAAAAAAACCCAAAAGCTCTGCTTGTCTTCACATGGCCTCTGCCTGTGTGTCTGTGTCCACACTTATAACAACACCAGTCATTGCATTAGGGCCGAACTTAATTCAGTATGAGCTCATTTTAACTTGACCCTATTTCTAAATAGGGTCACGCTCACAGGTTCCGGGGGATAGGACTTCAGTGATTCTTTAAGGGGGACACAGTTCAACCCACAACAGAGGGTATGGGAAGGAGGAATACTATACTCCTAGCTTTTTTGTACTCATCTTATTCCTGCTGGGTTTTTTTTCATTTTTTAAAGTATATTTATTTATTTTTTAGACAGAAAGAACAAACAGAGGAGGGGCAGAGAGAAAAGAAGAGAAAGAATCCCAAGGAGGCTCCACACCGTCAGCACAGAGCCCGATGTGGGACCTTAGCCGAAGTCAGACACTTAACTTACTGAGCCACCCAGGCACCCCATTCTTACTGTTTTTTTAGTTTGTTTACTTTGAGAGACAGAGAGAGAAAAAGAGAGAGCGAGGGAGGGGCAGAGAGAGAG